GAAGCTATTTTTTCTGGTACTACTATCCCTATGTCAAGTATTAATTGTCCTTTAAATAACAATATATAAGCCATCTCGAACCGGGCTGAATTTGAAAGCAAGCAGTAATTCTTTGATGTTTTTTAAAAAAAAACAATAATTTAAAAAAAAATCAAATAACTGTCAAGTATTAATTGTCCTTTAAATAACAAGATATAAGCCATCTCGAAGCGTGCTGAATTTGAAAGCAAGCAGTAATTCTTGGAATTTGTTTTTTTTTTTAAATAATAATTTTTTAAAAAATCAAATAACTGACAGTTGCTGTGGTTGAATTTTATTAGCATCCTTGGGACCACAGCTATCTTAGGTAACAAACATAGATGAATTTCCAAAGGCATGGGAAGCATCCAACAGTACTCGTTCAGTAAAGCCAATGTCCTCTGTATTCCGTAGAGGAAAGGTATCAAAGATAAGAGTGCTCCAAAATTCTTCACTGTGCCCAAACTTAGGTAAGCTGGGCTCCTGTTTCCCTAAGGAAAAAACTTCCTCTGTCAGCAGATCGACTTCAGCTTCTCCTTGCCCAAATCTCAGTGGATTTTAAAGCAGTGAAGCCGATTCTCCAACCCCTACAGAAGGAATGCTATCGCATGGAGCAGTGGACAACTTCTTCTTTTTCTCCTTCTTGCTTGCTCCCCTCTATCACTGGCATCACTGGTTCATCTTCCAGACAAATATTTAGATTGCCATCCATAGGGTTGCCACTCAATGGCAAACTGGAGAAGAGTACCTCCTCATAACCTCCTCCTCCTCCTCAAGAGCCTGGTGACCAAGGTTCTCATAGGGAACATGGGAGCCCCTGAACTACCCAAATGAAACCAGGAACATAAATCCCTCACTTTTGACACCCAAAGTAAATGCCCTCATCACCGAAATAAAGAATTTAGCTCTGTCTCTCACCATCTCCCCCCAGCGCTGCTTCAGACACCGTATATATGACTAAGTAATAACTCATCTCATTGTATATATGACTAAATTACTGATCTGACTGTATGGACACTGACTCACACACTGACGCAAAACGTAGAAGAGAAAGATTAAACTCCCTCTTATAATCTCTGCTTATTTACTTATGTATTTTGTATTTATTTATTTATTTATAAAAAGCAAAATAGCTCCAGTGCAGCATTATCATTAGAAGTGAAATAGCCCCTCATTCCTAGAGGAGGAACCTGAACTTCAGTCTCTTACACGTCCAACGACTGCTTCTGTCAAAAATCAGTATTTCCCACTGCAAAAAGCTTCAGTAGAAAAGTTCTGTTTTAACAAAACAACAAAACTATGAAATATTTATTTTGTATCATATTCATAAGAAATTGACATCTTTTTTGTTTGAATTATCTTTACAATAAGTATTTGCTATAATTTTAATTAAGCTCTTCTTACTGCCTTACTGCTTTATATTATCACATTTGCCTTTTTTATACTTGTTTTTTGAAACTAGATCTTTTCCTACCGTGTTTTAATGTATTTACACATATCTGTCTCTCACATTGTATACACTTTTCTCCCTCCTCCTTTTCGTACAATCTGTTCTGTATCTTGTCACTTGTTTGTTCCCTTGCTCTTTACTATTTCAAAATCTTTTACACAATCAAGCTTGAATTTCTCAATTAACCTGTTAATCTTACCTCTTCACATGACACCTTGTAAACTACTCCCCACACGTATAACACAAAAGATAGAATCTACACAACAGACTTCGATGTAAAGGATGGAAGGAGAAGTTTTACCAACCAGAACTACCCAGATGAAAAGAAAAAACACATTTTTAGCTACTCAATTATTTTTTTCCCTTCCCTCAGTTACCTGTTTAGGAGAGCAGTATCAGCTCATCCTGCTTAACTCACTGCTCACTGGTAACTCCAGCTTTTGCATTTTTTTTCAGTTTTCACACAATCAGAGAATCTTCATGGTTGGAAGGGACCTTTGAGAGCATCGAGTTCAATCACAAAAAAAAACCACACCAAAAAAACCCACCAAAACACACCCAACCCAACAATCTCGGGCACTAGAGCATGCCCTGAAGAGCCACGTCTACACGTTTCTTCAATCCCTCCAGGGATGGTGACTCCACCACCTCCCTGGGCAGGCTGTTCCAGGGCCTGACCACCCTCTCAGGAAAGTCATTCTTCCCAAGATCTAATCTAAACCTCCCCTGCCCCAACTCCAGACCATTTCCTCTGCTCCTGCCATGATTCCCTTGGGAGAAGAGGCCAACCCCCACCTCTCTACACCCTCCTTTCAGGGAGCTGTAGAGGGCAAGGAGGTCTCCCCGCAGCCTCCTCTTCTCCAAACTGAAGAGGCACAAGAAATGGGCAAGTTTTTTTCCAAGAAATGAGCTGAAACTTGCTTGTGGTGGTGTCATCACTCTCCACAAAGAAAAGAGAAGAGAAATAGATATGGGTTTGACCTATGTAGAGGGGTTTTTTTTCTTTGTTTTTCTGTTTGATTTTGTTTTAAGGAAAGTAGAGGTGACGTTTCTGAACTAGTTTTTGCACAAAAGACAGATAAGCACTACCTTTTACAAATTTTAATTTCTTTTGAAAAATGAAACCTTAGCCTGCAGCAAACGTTTTCAGCTACCTGCATATGCCTCACACTCACAACAGATCAGCAGAATTTTCAAATCCTAGATAACATTATCCATTTCAAATTCACATAGTTTATTAGGAAAAAAAAATCCATGTTCTCCTCTCATCAGCACTCTAATCTTATGCTTTGATAAGGTCTGGTGGTTTCATTCAAGGATGAGACCTCTTCATAGAAGAAACACTGGAAGATCAAGGAAAATAATTCCTGATTTCAACCTGGCAACACTGCATGAGGAGTTATCACAATTTTCATTCTGGCCATTTACCACCCAGACCAGTCATTTCCATTTCATAAAAGACAGAAGTACCTAAATCAACTAGTGGATTGAATACCAGAAAACCCACAAAAGGAGCCAATTTTTATTATTATTAACTAAAATTGGAGTCCTTACACTCAACTCTGCCATAATTTCCTTCATTTGGAAGAGTAATCTATATCATCTGTACATGAAGTAGACATGATACCAGCATGTAACTACCTGCATTTTCTTTTTAGTCACAACGTAATGATTCCAAATACCTTCAGGGGGTATATTTTCCATAAAACATTGCCTGATCTCACCAGATATACATCCAATTCCCACTACAGTGATTAAAGGACACAAAAAAATCACAACACATTTTAATCTTCATTTTGCATGAAAAAAGTAATTGCAAATACTATGTGTTCTAAACATATAGTGTAAATTTACCAGAATTTTAAGATGGAGACTGGGTTTTACAGTGGCTGGAATTTCTCAACCAAGAACTACAAATTAAAAACCATACTAAGAAAGAAGGATATCAAAAGACAAGAGCACAAAGCCTGATGTCCTCATGTGATTGAATTATTAAATTTTTTTAAAGATACTTTCTCATCAAACTCTTTGGGTTTTTTCCTGTGTTTTTTAAAGAAGCATTCAAAATGCGTAAATACATAATCTGGTTTTAAGGATAATAACCATTTGAGAGAATGCAGGTCTGCTCTTTGTCACACTGGCACAATCATTGCATAAAATAAAGAAAAATAAGAGAACATGAAAAAGAACTCTACTGGAGTTCTTTCCTCTACTAGAAATACTCTCTTAAAGCTTATCTGTTAATTTAGGAATAGTATCCCAGTTTTAAACTATTAGCCTCTCATTTTAGCCAAGACAGGAGCATCTCTAGAAAAGAATTAAAATGTGGGAAAGTAAGCATCACTATGAAAATTTAAGCAGCTACACCTCTTTGGGTTTCCTGGGAAAGGTTTTGGAACTTGCACTCTAGAAATTAACCTCCTACAGTGGACCTACCATACACCTATATTACACTCAATAACCCTGAAGTATTTTTTTGTTCTCCCTCTGAGTCTTGATTTTAAATGAGCAAAAATTTTATGTTAGAAGATGGCAAGCATCACTTTCACAAGACTAAGTTTCTTTTTCACACAAAGTATAGTCTGGTGCTTTGTTAGTGGATTGTATGAGACAAAAATAACTTAATGGCCGCATCTTTTAATATGATTCCTTTTTTTGAGTTAGTTATTAAAAAAAAAAAAGAAAACATGTCTGAAGAGAATGATTTTCTATACTGAATACTTTAAAGCCAACTGCAAAAAATTCAACTTCATTTAGCAAAACGTGTAATAATCAGTGACAACACTGATATTTCGAGTAGAACATTAGCTTAGCTTGGTAAATATAATAGAAATACTGACTCATAAATAGGCATTTCTAATGTTTATTACAGGAATTTTCATTTAGATAGCAAGATGCAAGAGATGAATTACACCTACAAAGTTCCTACGTTAGGAACATTACACAAATTGTACATTGTCTCTCACGTAGATGTAAATGTAACAAAATAGTGTCCATAAAATGTAAATTTTTTTACTGTCAAGTATTGATAGGTGAATCAGAATGAATCAGTATTCAGTGCAAAACTGGAAAAGACTGTGCCTCTAATAAATTCAGTACAAGCCTAGCAAAAAAGCCTGCTGTTATCATGAAAGCTCATGTTATCATGAGATTACAACAGACGTTGAGTGAGAATACGTACAAATTTAATGAAATGTAAAAGAAAACACTTCAAATCATAACAAATTTCTGTAGTGCCTTCTATTGCAGCTCATCGCCTGCTAAGGGCTCTTGTCACGTTAGCTGCCATATTAAACTGCGCGGCAGCGGCGCCACAACAACATTACACACAACTACCATTTTTTTGTGCTGCAAGAGAGAAAGTCGGTTCCATTAGAAAAAAAAAAAAGTCCGGGAAAAAACACAAGCAAGTATTCCCACAGTAAATAAAATTATTGTATTGATTGTCTGAACGCCGTTTACAGACCTGGAGCTCTGCGTACACAGGTACACACATAGACACAAAACCATACAAATGTGAAATTTCCCTTACCTCAATAGCTCTCTTTATATATGGTATCTGCGTGCCACTGTCCAGGTCTTCGTTAATTATAAGTCTCCTCGCCCACTGACCCGCTCTGACGACGCCGTTACCATGAATTAGGACCAGCAGCTTATCAGGATTCGTTAACGCGTCTTCACTCATAAATATAAAGCTCTTTGGTTCACTCTCAGTTGCATCAACCTGCAATTGCAGACAACACGCTCTTTTACGCATCAATAAAGATTTTTTAAAAGAACATCTGTAGCTGTAAAGTTAGCCACCAAGGTGATATAAAAACTTTCACTGTTTAACAGCCATTTGTACGCGTATTATAAGGACTAATGTGTGCCCAGCACTAAATAAAAATAAAGCATAAGTTAGTGTCTGTGCAAGGTAACTTCAAAACATGAAAATATACCACAGTTTAGAGCAGTAATCCAAGGGAGATTTAAATCAAAAAAAAAGGGGTAAAAAGTACGTTAAAACTTTGAAACATCAGTTGTTTACAGAAATTTACTGGCAAAAAAGAAAGTCCATAAAAGAACAATCAGGGGGCGAGGGGGGAAACCAAGTAATTTGTCACCTCTGATATGCCTGAAGCAACAATAAAATTCTTACATAATATGAAAAAAATCCTAGAGAGTTCCATCTTGGCCACTTCAACATAAATACCCAATAAGCTACGTATGAACCTGTATTGTAAATTTGTCTGTTATAAATTTAATAGGATAGGCCTAATAAAATATAGAAATCCAATTTGGGTCTAAATAATGGCTTCATTAAGAACCCTGCACCTGGGCCAAGGCTCAGCTACTTTGCTACAGGAACAGATCAACAACCAGCTTCGACAGCCAGAAAACCATAATCTAATTCCAAGTTTTGCCCTTACTCTGGAGAGTAAAGGAGAACTTTTTGTTTGATAAAAACAGAGGTTCTATAAAGCAGGTCTATCCTTGGTTTTCCCAGCCTGGCTCGAGGCAAAAGAATTGTGCTGGTGTAAATAATGTGAGGACAGAAAGAAACACCCTGTCTACTCATTCTTTCCCTTCTTCCATGTAAATATGAGAAAAGGAAAAAAAGGACAGGCAAATCTCCCCGTCCATCTTCCAAAGACCTTACTTCTGCTCCAAAATTATGTTAACATCTCATCTTGCCTCATCTTGAACTTTTTACTCCAGGAAATGCCCTCACCTGCTCCCATACTTTGTGTGAAAATAGAAAACATGGTAAAAAATACATTTTGTTAAAGAGTTTGTAGTACATAAGTACAACAGGTGCCGCACGGCAGATCACACTTCTGAAGTTGGGGCACTAATACCTTGATATTTAACATGTCTTAGGTAAAAAGCCAGACAACACCAAATCTCAGACAGTAGTTGGCAAGATGCAGTGACTTTTGCAAATAAATACTGGAATTAAGATAAAACATTGTGAACTTGTATTTCAAAGACAGACATAGCTGTAAGTTTTAGCACTTATAAACTAATTTTTATTTAATATTTAGGAAATACTAGCACTTAGTAATCACCTGTATTAGAAGACATAACTTGTTCACACTTTTGCAAGTATATTAATTTTAAAAAGTTAAAAATATCTACCAAGATCATAAAAAATAACTCTTCATTCCCTTCCTCAAATTAATCACATTTGGAAACTTTTCTTCAAGCTAATTTATCTTCAAACAGGAGTAATTCATTAGATCAAGCTTTCCCTAAAGAATGCACATAAAGGTCACTCCTGTGCACAGCCTTACTTTATTGACAAATCAACGTAGAATACCATTTAGTGCTAGACACATCGAGTCTGCATAAAATAATTTGTATTTATTAGCCACTTTCTCTTCTGGACCTACTCATGAACACTTATTTCTGATCCTTTATTTAAACACAAATCAAATAAATTCAGTAAACTGCTGCACTTCAATTAGTTTAATTTTACATTTTGATTCAACATTGTCATTCGCATGCAATAATAATCTTCCAATAAAATGTAGCTAGGAATGTCAAACCAATCTGAATTCTGCTAATAATTTACTGTTTGAAAGTATACTGCTTAAAGCTTAATTTTCCTTTTCTCAGATTTATTTTTCCAACGCAAAGCTGTACCTGAAGGTTTATGGAAGTATGCAGTTATAGTGAATTCTCTGAGTTATGCTCTCTACATACATTATGACATTAAGGTTTATTAAGCTTTTCAAGCAGCGAATTAACTTTTCCATACGAGTTCTGTCTCAAATGAGCTATCACCTAGTACAGTAGTACTAGTCTACAGAATATAGATGCACATTTTCTATAGATAGAACCCAAGACACATGAGAGTTGACGAGGCTCTGGGGGTCTTCTATTTTCTAAATTGGAAGTTTTTAAGTTGAAGATTGAACGTTGAATTTTTAAGGAGAAAAAAAAATCCACTAATATTTTTCTTACTCCAGTTAAGAAACAATAAAAATTATGAGCCTAGAGCCTACAAACAAGTGAAACAGGTGTAACTTGTGACTGGAAGAAAGAACATGGCAAATAAGCGGAACTGAAACTGAAAAGACTCAAAAAGATTGTGAGAACTGTGAGCAGCTGGTGGAGAGAGAAAACTGCTCATTTGCTCCACAAGATAAGAAAAGTCTTCTGTTAAGTGGTTCTACATAAAGCTCACTAACTCGTGTTACAGTCTTCACAATATTGAATATCCCTATTTGTAATTTTTCACTCAAACTTGTAAAAAATGAAAACTGCTGATCAACACTACAGGCAGCTAATTAGCACTTGGTGATTACCAGAACTAACCTAAGACATGTAAAACTAGTGGAATTTTTACTGAACAAGTATTGACTGGACTTTGGTAACAAAACAGCCAAGAGGAACATGCAATGGAGATCACAGAGCATTGTTTCCGAAAGAAAAATATTCTTGGCTGTCTAGTAGATCAAGAACTACAGAATGAAGTTCTACCTACTGAAGTGGAAGAGCAAAGCGTTGATAAGTCAGAAGATTCTGCAAAGTGAGACCTTTCAGTGCCATTGCCAATGAAGTATGTTAGTAATTATTTAAACTTCCATTTCAGGCCTTCCCAGAAGCTGCTAAAGATGCATTTAATTCAGAAGCACCCTCTATTTGTCCTCAAGAGCTAAAGAACAGCAAAGATCAATCGCTGATTATGCCATTAAAACTACAGAAATACAAAGACTTCATCTGGATAAAAAAATTGCAGTCTTCTTTATATTCACAATACAACCTTCAACGGAGCACAAAATGAGAAATTTAAAAGAAATAATTGAATGCTTGCTCCCTGAATATGAGTCTCTTCGTTTTCAAGTCCAGTCGTATATGTTGAACATTAAGAGAACTACAAAACTTTACAGTAACAATAATGCAATATGCATCTCAGCTTCCCTGTGTAAGGAAAAATGTTCAGGTTTATGTTCTGCCAGGGAGGCTGACATAATAAAACAATCAGAGAGCTTTCCTGATTTCCCAACTGCTCTTCTTCTCGTATCTGAAAACAAGTTTACAAACAATTGCGTCCAAAACTGAAGCTGCCACCTGAGAAAGCAAAATAAAGACAGCAAGTTGGACTCTGCACATGAGGTTGAAATTAAGAAAGATAAGAGAACATGAAATGCTGTCAGACCAAACCTTTGAAGCGCAGCATTTCTGTACTCTACTAAAACCCCACTGAAAAAGAAAAAACAAAAGCACTCCCCTTAACACAGTCCTGAAACACATTTCATATATTTAAACATCATTAAACTGCCTACTTTGTTATCAGCTGATGGAAAAGGGAGGGCCAACACACCAACTTTCTGATCACTTGTGCCAAAGTTCAGAAAAAAACATGTTTTCATATTCATCTCTAAAATGTTCACATGATAAGAGCAGCCATCCTGGTCAGAGCAAGGTCCCAGGTTCCCATTACTGACAACAAGAAGATTATTTAGGGGAAAGGGGTTTTTATAGTGATTCTTCCCTGTTTTTGGCAACCAGTAGCTTTGGAGCCTTCCCTGCCAGAGTTTACAACTCAATAAGCAGGGACAATGGTTCAATGCACCCATCCCACCTCAGTACTGTCAGATGGGGTTTTTTTAATGCATTTATACTGTCTCCAAGATAGTATTCTGCGGCAATGAGTTCCTCAGTATAATTGGGACGTATATAAAATAGTACTGCCTCTCTTTCAGTAGCGATCTCCTGCCTGATAATTTAAACTTGATGCCCCTTAGCTTCTCTATTATGAAAAAAGCGAAAAACCATTCCCTATTCATCTTCCATACACCTTTCATGATTTTATAGATTCGTCATATTCCTTCCTCAGTCATCTATTTTCCAAGCTGAAGAATCTTTGTCTAATCTTTCTTTGTCTGAAAAGCATTTCATGCCTGTGATCATCCTTGTAACCCTCCTCTGTACTTTTTTTTTTAAAATTCTTCATATCCTTTTTGATATGGTGTCCAGGCTCCATGCAGTGTTCAAGATGGGGGCCCACATAATGAGTGGAATGACGATGTTTTTCTGTTTTGTTCTCAACACCTACTAATTCCTAACATCCTATTTGCTTTGAGGGTTTTTGACTGCCATTGAGCACTAACTGATGGTCTCAGAGAACTATTCACAATCACTCCAAGCTCTTTCCCGAGTTGTAATAGCTCATTTAGAGGCCACCATTGTGTTTACAGAGTGAGTTATTTTCCCCATAATTTCACATTTACTAGAATTGAATCTCATGTCATTTTATCCTCCAATCATTCAGCATCATGAAATAATTCCCCAACTCATCACGATCAGCTTTAGATTTAAGTACTCTAAATAATGTTAGAATAAAACAGCAAAGTTTGTTAGCTTCTATTAATTCCTTTTTTCCTTTTACTCACGACTATGTCAGCGCAGGCCTTAATAACACTGCACCGGTAACAACTTATTTAATCTGTAAAATATGAACAGGCTTTTTTCCTTTTAACTGACTAATTCGTAAGGGGACTCCCTCCTCCTATGCCATGAGTGCATCTTTTTTAAAGCATTTGGTAAGCTTGTTGGCAGCTCGTTGCAAATCCACGGACACTCCTGCAGACAAGATCTCTCTTTTTCATGCGATCCCCAAATCCTTCAATGAATTCCAGTAGGTTTTTTAAAAAAGAAACCTGTACTGACTTTTCCCCCAATATATTATTTCTCCCACTACACAGGAATCACTGTGAATCACTCCTGGAGGCCCTTCAAAGACTATCACATTTACTCTTTTTCCATTCCTCTGATGAAAATAGCTGATTTCAGCCATAAGTTACATGCTAGTTGGTTGTTCTCCAGCTTCATATTTGACTTTTTATATTACCCTGGGCTTAAAAACCATCTCATCCTAGAATTTGATTATTGTATGATATATCAATTTGTTCTAAGATCTCCTCTACTGATATATCAAATTTCAGACAGTTCCTCAGAGCTGTACCCTGTTTAAAAAAATAAAAAAAATTCAAGTGTGGAAACTGGACAAATAACATAGGAAATAACCATGTTAAGTTTTTCTCATTTGAGCTGAGTGTTCCTTTTGCACACAGTTTATCCATCAGCCTCATCAGCTTTCTTTTATTATTAGCCTTTACAGTTGTAACAAGCTCCTCAAATTCAGTTTTGGGTGATCTCACTGTGGTTTTATATGTCCAGCATTTATACTCTTCTCTACCTTCCTCACTTGGACAGGACTCACGCTTCCTGCAAGCTGCCTTATTACTTCTATTACTCTCTTTTACTAGTTTAAACCAGGTTTCTTTGTGTTGTTACTTGGGAGTCTGTCAGCAGTGATTTGAACATAGCCTTTAGACAGATTTAATTTTTCACCTTCTCCATACATTGGTTCAGTTTTTTAGTCCTCTTCATAACCTACTTTTGACTGTAGAGAGGGCTTCCTGCACGTAACAGTCATTAGTAAAGAATGGTGCTCATGCCTTGTGCCAAATTTTCCACACTGCTCGAAATTAAACAGCTGCATATATTCTCTGAGTCCTCACTTTGCTCCAAAATGCAATTAAATTATGACACTTTGCAGAAGCTGGAAGTAAGTCATCTGAGAATAGCTTAAATGTACTACTGACAAAGTACATCAGTACATCAGTGATTCCTACATAATTTATAAATAAGAGTAAACACAGATTAATTCAGCAGCAGGAGTTAGACAGGGCCATTCTTCTCCCAAGCCAGACACCCCAGTGTTAAAGCTGTGCAGAGAAGTCCCCATGTGTGTGACAGAGGTGATGGAGGGGTTGGAATACTTATTCCAAGTTTGTTCATCTTTATTTTTTGAGGCAAACAGATCAGCCTTAGCATCGCATTACTTACAGGCATCCTGCTTTTTACAGAGGGCATTCAAAGGAAAGTTGCACAGCCTCAAAATTCAGGCACTGGGAAGTTTACAAATGCCACTTTCCTGGTTTGAGAGAGAGAGGGTGATGTGGGTGATGAGAGGGAGAAGTCTTTTGATACATCAGTGGTCTGGAACATGGAAGTACCCCAAGAATCCTTTCTGATAGAGATGGAAAACCTACTTGGTGCTGTCACAGGGCAGTCTCCCCCACGTTCTCCACTAAAGGATGTTAAAATGCACAAACATCATCCTGGTATCCCGTGTATTTACAAATCCCCTCATGCCTGTTCTTTGGGGAATGCTTCATCACTTCCAAGGGTTGATCAAATGTTTTCACTAAACAGCCACACATTGTATTACATACATGCTACAAAGTACTAAAAAAGTGTGATCGTAAAAAAAAGACTTGAAGTAGTTTACTGGAACTCAACTTGAGTTTATTCCTTTGCCCGTAAAGGCACATTTGTTCTCTACATCCAGCTGTAAAAGGCCTCAACACATTCACAAATGCTTTTCAAAGCATGGTGATGTGGTACCTCTACCAAAACTAACACATTTTGAAAATTCTGGTACCTGGTGGGGGGAGGAAGGCTCCTCTGGAGAAATCCAACAGAGGAGAAGTGCACTGGAAGCTGCATGGGAAGGCAGCACCCAGAGACAATGCCCTGCCCGGAGCCCTGGCACACCTCATCTTTACCCAAAAACCAGATTGAAGGATCTGCTTTTTACAGATTCATACAAATAACATCCTCGGGAAAAAAAAAAATAAAAAAAAATATATATACTTACTGGGAGTGTTACTTTCTTCAAGTGGCATTCTTTTTGCAGTAGTTCATAAACATATTTAGTAATGATCTGGAAGGGGAAAAAAAAAAAGATAAAAAAAAAATGCAAATAAACATTAAAGCACTTACAGTAATGACATATCCAGGCAGACAACTTAGAGGCTAGCGGGCTGAACTTCTAAGCACTTGTATATGTTTTGCCACCTATCTGAATTCTTTGCTATACCACTAATTACAGAACTCAGAGCTTCACACAAAAAGGTCTCCTCTGTCCCTCAGAAAAGGCTGCTTGCCAGTACAAAGAAATTGTAACTGTACCTGTGAATCCATCACGTGCTGCTGTGTGAATAATTATGTGCCTCAAAACTAAGGATTATAACCAATTAATATATACTCAGGGGTACAAGAAAGGCTCTCTTTTGCAAAGAAATACTTTTAAGGCATTTTTTTCTTCCACAAGCAGGACTCCTGAAACCCTCTCCCCTGCAGGTTCACTTCAGGAGCTACATGGAGAGCAGATCTTTAGTCACCCTCAGCACAAGTTGCCTTGCCATTTCTATTCACTGAACGGGGGAGGAATGGGTCAAAGGTTTCTAAATAGAAGAAAAACCCTGACTGATTCCCCTCTATGGGGGAGTTTAAGTCTCTTGTCTCCACGCAGAAATAAAATTGAAATTTTAGTCCTGAAACAAAAGGAATTATTTCAAAGAGCCACTAAAAAAACCAACCTAGTTGCAACGAAAGACTTGCTGTCTCGAGCGTAGCAAAGTTCACACTTCAAAGGCTTGCCTAATATCTAGGGAAATTTTTTTTTTCACCCTTATATATTCTAAGAAAAAAATGGAGATGCAGATGTAAGAACTTTCTAACCATTATTAATTTGGGAATTAAGCTGAGGAACAAACTAAAGCGCTTTGTCCATATGGGGCTGTAAAAATGGTTTGGAAGTAACTGCTTGGATTTCACTGGCTACAGGAGTTAAAAAAGAAAAATAAATAAAAAAAAAGAAAAAAAAAAAGGCAAATTAAAGAGGAAAAAAAGTGCTCATTAAGAGCCTCAAATAGTGCCTGCCTCCCCTTTAAAGCTTGGGGAACTATGTTTAAATTCCAGACAGGACAAGGTCTAAGTCCCAAAATATTAATCCAAGAATATCTGGGTACAAACCCAGCTGGTATTCTTTAGTCCAACCCCTCAAGGCCACAATTACAGCCATCTGAACCTGCAGCATATTAAAGCCACAACAGAAACGTCGCTGAAACAAAGCTCTCAAGCCACGGCATCTTAACAACGCACTATGAACCGAGCAAGTAGGAGCCAGGGTACCATAAACTTCAATTTTAATTTTCCAAACGCACAATTACCAAATAAAGTTTCAATGAAGTCCAAAAGTTTTCATTATGTACATGTGAGCAAACACAATATGCAAACGTTTGGAACACATCTGAACAAATTAGAGGTATACTGATGAAAGCTAATTAAAAATGCTGGCGCGTGCCCCTCCCTTCCTTTCACAAACCCCCCCCCCAAATCTTCATTAGGATTATGAGAATTCTTTGCTACCCTGCTCAAATATGTTTATTGATAGAACTACATTCAAAAAAACTTTACGGTTTTAAAGAAAATCAGTCTTACTGAACATTACTATCTACAGGGAAACTGCATTTGGAGAAGGAATTTAGCTGTGAGCGATGAGTTGATTTAAGACATGTTTATCCCCAAAGCAGTATGTTAGGAACATGCATACAGCGTAATTTTACCTTCAGGGCCAAACTTTTTATGGTTCACCGAAATCAACTTCAGTGTAATGCCAACAAGTAAAGCAGTTAAGTTCCTGCAGCCTCAGATGCTGATCTTGTACAGACATTAAAATGAGTATAATGATAATATGGCCTCAAACATAGAAATTTTATTTTTCACTCTAAATCCAGGCATCTACTAACCATCAGAAACACTAAAAGAACACTTGAAAGGGAAAAAAAATTGCTATGAAGAAAATACATTTTAGACACCACTTGCAAAAATCTACCCTTTTTGCAGCTATGTGTTTGCATCTATTTTTTCTATTCTTTCACATCTATTTAGACTGTGGTGTCTTCAGGGCAGAAGTAAACCTTTATTCATTTTTTCCACAGCCTGGCTCAATCAGGCTCTGATCCTAACTGGCTCTTTAGGCACTACTCTAATATAATAAATAGAGATATCAGCCTCAGAAATGGGACTGTTAAACCAGGGGAGCTCTCTGGTATAGCAAAGACTTCACCTGACGAATGCTTTTAATAAGAGTAAACATGAAGAAAGATGGAATAGGTTGGAGTCATGGGTGCCAAGTGTGAGATAACGATCCTCAGGCAGCTCAGCACCATGGCCCAGACAGACTGGAGGAAAAACTGCTTTAAACTGTCCCAGTATATCTACAAGACCTCAAATGGTGTTTTTTTTGGCAGCAGAAGATCAACAAGTTCAGGGATATCCTAGCCATGGCTGTAAGCTGTCAAAAGATGGAAGGCAATACACAGCATTTCTTGAAGTAGCACAGAAGCCCAAAAATTTCCAGATTTAGAAAACATCGTCACAAAAGCCAGGCTTCCTGCACTTGGACAATCTAGCAAAATCCTGTCCCACCCAGGAATACGGCTCCAAGTACTGAAAATGCTACAATTCCAACATTCCTTTTGGAATGTTACTCTTTTAATTACTTCTCGTGATTCTATGGCTGATCCGCAATTCTGATAATTTAACTTTAAAAATATCTTTTCTATGGGCATTGAGAAGGAACTGTGCTATGTTACTTATATAGCAATAATTAGACTTTCTATTAAAAATATATACAATTTAAATAGCCACGACTTATTTAAGTAGCAGTATTAGCTTCTTGTGGGTGCCGGTATTTTATCTTCACGATCTGAAAACTGCCATAGGGTGCTGAAAAGTGTCTTCTGACTTCTTGCATGAGGATGTGAGCACGGTCACACTCTGTGAACACTCCTGGACTAGTCATCAGTCGCATGGTCACCCACAATGGCAGGTATTTAGTGACAGAGGCTGGTCAATCCAGCCCAGTGTTAATAACTCATCTGGAACTATCAAGCATCAGACTGCCCAGTGTAAGCCATTCTCACAGCAAATTTTTAGAGAATTCTACTCGTGTTATTTGTACAAACCAGGGATACTTATGCTTTTTCTATCTCTGCTCTTCATTCACTTCCAAGTGCAGTCAATCAGGAAAGCACATCTCAAATAGGGTAAGTATCTGCACTAAGTGCTATCAACGTCTTCTTATTGCTTGCTCCGAGAAATGGGGAAAAAAACCCAAATACGCCCCACCACTGCCAAAATTCCATGCCTCTCATCACCCGTTCTGATAGCAAGGGAGAAATCCTTTCCAACCACAAAAAGGTACTTAGCTGAACAATTCCACCCCCCACAAAGGTTGTATTCAAACTGTGGGATAGGAGAAACTTTCTTTCCATCACAAAGCGGTCACCTGTGGAAGGAAACTAAATGGCTTACACTCCAATTCACTCTCAGTGTCCTGAGGAGCCAACGTCCAGCTTTTCATAAGCCTGAGGATCTTCTGCCCTACATGAAATCACAGTTTTTCTGACTTTTGTTGGTCTAGAAAAATTCCCACAACAAAGGCAGGCTGATGAGAGCAGGGACCACAGATGAGGGGAACTTGTCCTGAACAGTAAAAACAGCGGATGAACCTAATCTCTGCTACCATTTCCTTGTTCCTCCTTCATCCCCTGTGGACAAGGTTAAGAGCAGTGATACATATGGTTCAGGACAGGAACTAAACTTCAGTGCTCACAACTGGGCTTCTGAGGAGCTTAAACCAGTCAGTCTCCCAATTTATGTTGGATATAACAGCATGACTACCTCCAGAAGTACCCTTTCAAAGTGCTAGTGGCCCCAAATAGGACATCCGCAAACTTCAGTAGTCTTATGGATAACCAGGGGATAGGCCTATGGAAGGAACAGTGATCCTTCACATGGATCCAGAATATAACCTATTTTAATTACAGAGAAATTAAATTTGATGACTTGGATGGATAGCAAAAAGGATAGAGGCACAGAAGACAACAGAAAGAAAAGAGAAAAACACGATTTTATGACAGAGCTGAGATTTTGCCCTTCCTTTACTAAATATTCTGCACAACGGTGGCCATGACTATAATGCTGCAGGCAGTCTGTAGAGCAAAAGTGAAACTCCAGGTGGAAATGCAGTTTTCGTGGACAAAACTCCACGACACCCCAGCTGGTAAGGTCCTGGCTTCATATGACTTCTGTTCTTTTAAGATTATATCGTTCACATAGAGGACTTTCTTCAGGACTGTTTTAAACTACCAAAGTGCATCAAGAAATTCTGTTAGCAGCATAATTTGTAAAATATTTGCAAGAGAGCATCCTGAAGCTACATGACCAAAAGATCAATACCTGCGTACAACTATGTGAAAAGAGATGTTAAAGGCTAAGAGCCATTGACACCGACACATTAAAAGTTACGAAGACATACTGAAGGCAAAACATGATTAGAAGTGGGGAACATGACCACAGAGAGTCTTCAATGCACTAAGTATTGGAGGTCTTTAAACAGAAGTCTGAAGGACAACTAGAAGCATGCCCATGAAGTAAGAAGGTAACTCCAACATAGCTCAGTTTAAAACACTACACCCCTCATTGCAATTCTGTAAGAAACTGAAAGAAGCCTCATATCACAAATCAAAAACGTCAAGAACCAGCCCTTCACGCACGAGGAAGAGCAGAACTGCAGCTGACCCACCAGTGAACTTGTTTCCTAGCAGAGATAGCCAGGTAGGGAGACAACAGATCACAACTCAACGGCTTGTTTCATAACACCTACGTCCTAATCCAGAGGAGCTGCTTCAGTACATACCACATCAAGAACCATGCTGGGACGCAGTGAAGTGCACTGAGCCTTGCTCGTCAAGCCCCTACCCCCCTGCTGTGCTTTACAACCCAACTCCTCGCAATCCTCTCTTGTTTTTTTCCCTCCCCTGAGCGTGCTCCCACTCTCAAAACCAACTCTACCCATCACCAGACGACGTG